ATATCTCTCTAAGGGAGGTGGCAGTGGTCATGGAAAATGTGACATTAGAAGGAACTCCAATTACCACAGCACACTTAAACATCGGTTAAGTGGAAAAGATTGTCAGGAGTTCTTTTTTCACAACCGTGCTACCTAAATCAGTTTATTTTCAGCAAGAAAGAAGTGCTGTCTGAATAACCTGCTGTCTGACATTCTTTTGCAGTGCCGGAGTGGGACGGACGGGAACATTCATCGCTCTGGACAGGCTCTTGCAGCACATCCGGGATCATGAGTTTGTCGACATTTTAGGGCTGGTGTCAGAAATGAGGTCATACCGGATGTCTATGGTACAGACAGAGGTAGGAGCAAAAGCAATATGTATTTTTAAACTTGCCCTTGACTGAAAAACTCACGATTATTCAACCTCACACTTCAAAACAATTGTCTGAAAATTTTTGTATCTTCCTTTCCCATTTTCTTATTGTGTATGTATAAGATATAACAGAAATACATATTAGCCTTTAGAAATCCATTCAGTGTCTACAGTAATTACACTTCTATTGGCATCATATGCCCTTTCGTAATGCAGAGCACGTGGATGTGTCTGTAATAGACTAAAACGTCTTTGAACAGACCAGGAGTTAGGTGAAGGTAACAGCCATTCTGGGTAAATGTCACCACACGGAGACAGTAGAACTGATGTGATCTACTTTATATTTGAAATGTTGGATTTGATTAATAAGTTTGTCATTAATTTACCCTCCATGTGACTCTGTCCCAGTTCACTTTTAATGATAGTCATGGGTTGAATTTGATTTCTGTCCCCCTTCTGATTTCAAGAATTCCCAGCCCCCAAACCTACCAGCACTGCCAGTCCCCTTAATCTAAATGGATGGATTTATTATTTTAACACAGGAATATCCTGCGGTGTTACATGCTCCCTCTTCATCCTCTTCTCCCACGTCCTCTCCTCTGTGGGTGCCTTAGAATGCACTCCAGACGGAGTGACAGCCCCAGGGCAGTGCCAGTAGACAGTACACACTGCCTCAGAGCAGCCGTGGGCGTGCACCTGTGTGGGTGCAAAAACCCAAGTACCATAGCTTGCTCATAATCCTAGTCACCCAGCCGTACTCACAACTTCTTAGCTCCAGGCACACAATAGCCCTTTCTCTCAAGGAGTGTGTGTGGGAGGGACGCCTGTGGTGTCGAGAGCACAACCTGGCCTGACCTCTCAGCAAGAGATTAAAACATGCCTTGGTCTTCCTCTTGCTTTTCCCATCTGCCACCACTAGATGTCAGTATAACTCAAAAAGCCCAGCGTGGTGGCTGCTGTAGCCTCGGTTCTGTAGGTACCTCCTTCCCCACGCTTTCTGCTTTTCTTTCCTCCTACCTTCTCAGTCCCATCTGACCAAGGACTGGCACAGCCGTTCCGGTGTATTTATTTCTGAGCTGTCACAGGATCATCCTCGGTTCTGTAGGTACCTCCTTCCCCACGCTTTCTGCTTTTCTTTCCTCCTACCTTCTCAGTCACATCTGACCAAGGACTGGCACAGCCGTTCCGGTGTATTTATTTCTGAGCTGTCACAGGATCACACTCCTTTAGGAAAGAGTAATTAATATTCCAGATGTCTCATCGATCATTAAAGCAAGTCGTTTATTTGTTTCCTCACTTCCTTGAGCAGGCCCACCTCTCAGTCCTGCTGACTTCTAATTTACTGTCGTGGGGACATGAGCATCGCCTTGTTATCTGTCGTAAGTGTGAAATGGCTGGTTTCCCCGAGAAAGCACTGCCCACTGCCTAGTGAGTAAATACTTTGCTTTAGTAATCGGTCCATATGTTTGGCTTTCACTTCCATAAACTTGTATCCTAATACACGATTAAAAACTCCCCCTTACATATATGAATCCCTGAGCTTTAAAGGGCTGCTCATTTTAGATTAGATGAATTGCCCCATTTACTTAATTTACACCTTTGATAACTTCATAGACTTCGATTACAGCCTGTTTGCTTTTGACTTTTCCCAACTGCAGAATCTTCATCCCTTTATACAAGCTTCCTTCACGTGCAGACCCTCCATCCCATTCAGGTGCAGTAATCACAAAACACTAGAGCAGTCACCATGTAGTCTTCTGCAAAGCCAAGAAAATGTTTCATTTTCTCCCTTTCTTGCTTCAAATTTTGGTTGTTTGGCTTCTTTGTTTACCGCAGTGTTTTAGGTTGACATCTCCATGGAAACAGGCTTTTTTAAGTGCAATATCCCTTCCCTTTACTCTCATGGGGAATTCCAAGTCAGCCAAGGGGACAGAGGGCGCCCAGGTTACTACTTTTCCCAACAGCTCTGGCTTTTCCCTTGAGTTCCTCAGGCCCTTGTGATAGATGCTCTCCAGTTCTAGTTGTTTATCTGAGTCTGTTTAGTTAGTGATGTCCAGAACATCTTGTTCATTTATCTTTATTTTTCCTCTACCCTCTGCTCTCCATAGTTCAACCTGCATTTTGAATACAGGTTGATTTACCTAGCATTTTTTCTTTTTGTTTGTTTGTTTGTTTGTTTATTCAAAATAATTTAACATCCACTTATACATACTTGTGGGGTACAGTGTGTTGTTTCAATACATGCGTGTACTGTACCGTGATTCACTTAGAGTAGACAGCAGAGTTTTGTCCCCGTTGGTCCACCAGTTTCCCCTCTCAACCATCCCAGCCTCTGGTAATCAGTATTCTACTCTCTACTTCAATGACAGCCTTTTTTTTTTTTTTTTTANGATGAATTGCCCCATTTACTTAATTTACACCTTTGATAACTTCATAGACTTCGATTACAGCCTGTTTGCTTTTGACTTTTCCCAACTGCAGAATCTTCATCCCTTTATACAAGCTTCCTTCACGTGCAGACCCTCCATCCCATTCAGGTGCAGTAATCACAAAACACTAGAGCAGTCACCATGTAGTCTTCTGCAAAGCCAAGAAAATGTTTCATTTTCTCCCTTTCTTGCTTCAAATTTTGGTTGTTTGGCTTCTTTGTTTACCGCAGTGTTTTAGGTTGACATCTCCATGGAAACAGGCTTTTTTAAGTGCAATATCCCTTCCCTTTACTCTCATGGGGAATTCCAAGTCAGCCAAGGGGACAGAGGGCGCCCAGGTTACTACTTTTCCCAACAGCTCTGGCTTTTCCCTTGAGTTCCTCAGGCCCTTGTGATAGATGCTCTCCAGTTCTAGTTGTTTATCTGAGTCTGTTTAGTTAGTGATGTCCAGAACATCTTGTTCATTTATCTTTATTTTTCCTCTACCCTCTGCTCTCCATAGTTCAACCTGCATTTTGAATACAGGTTGATTTACCTAGCATTTTTTCTTTTTGTTTGTTTGTTTGTTTGTTTATTCAAAATAATTTAACATCCACTTATACATACTTGTGGGGTACAGTGTGTTGTTTCAATACATGCGTGTACTGTACCGTGATTCACTTAGAGTAGACAGCAGAGTTTTGTCCCCGTTGGTCCACCAGTTCCCCCTCTCAACCATCCCAGCCTCTGGTAATCAGTATTCTACTCTCTACTTCAATGACAGCCTTTTTTTTTTTTTTTTTAGATTACACATATGAGTGAGATCATGCGGTATTTATTTCTCTCTGCGCCTGACTTACTTCACTTAATGTGATGGTTTCCAGTTCTATCCATGAAAAAAATGTCATTTTTTATATAGAGCTGCATAGTATTCCACTGTGCATATATACCACAGTTTTTTTTTATCCATTCACCCGTTGATGGGCATTAGGTTGATTCCATCTCTTGGCTACTGTGATGAACACAGGAGTGCAGGTGTCTTTTTGACATATTGATTTTGTTCCCTTTGGGCACATAACCTAGCGGGATAGCTGGGCCGTAAGGTAGATCTATTTTTAGTTCTGAGGAAACTTCATACTGTTTTCCACAATGGCTGTACCAATTTATACTCCCTCCAGCAACGTAGGAGAGTTCCTTTTTCTCCCCATACTCACCAGAATTTGTTATTTTTGTCCTGTTGGTAATAGTCATTCTAACTGTAGTGAGATATCTAGTTGTGGTTTTAATTTGCTTTCTCTGATGATCAGTGATGTTGAGCACTTTTCCATGTGCCTTTGGCCATGTGTATGTCTTCTTTTGAGAAATGTCTGTTTAGGTCCTTTGCCCATTTTTTAATTGTGTTACTTTTTTTTTTTTCTGCTGTTAAGTTCCTTATATAGTAGCCCCTTGCCGGATGTGCAGTTTGCAAACGCTTTCTCCCATTCCGTAGATTCTCACTTCACTTTGTTGACAGTGTCCCTGGCTGTGCAGGAACTTTTCAGTTTGATGTAGTCACATTTATGTATTTTTGCTTTAGTTGCCTGTGCCTTTGTAGCATCACTCAAAAAAAGTGCTGCCCACTCGCATTTCGTGTAGCAGGGAGTGCAGGTGTCTTTTTGACATATTGATTTTGTTCCCTTTGGGCACATAACCTAGCGGGATAGCTGGGTCGTAAGGTAGATCTATTTTTAGTTCTGAGGAAACTTCATACTGTTTTCCACAATGGCTGTACCAATTTATACTCCCTCCAGCAAGGTAGGAGAGTTCCTTTTTCTCCCCATACTCACCAGAATTTGTTATTTTTGTCCTGTTGGTAATAGTCATTCTAACTGTTGTGAGATATCTAGTTGTGGTTTTAATTTGCTTTCTCTGATGATCGGTGATGTTGAGCACTTTTCCATGTGCCTTTGGCCATTTGTATGTCTTCTTTTGAGAAATGTCTGTTTAGGTCCTTTGCCCATTTTTTAATTGTGTTACTTTTCTTTTTTCTTTGCTGTTACGTTCCTTATATAGTAGCCCCTTGCCGGATGTGCAGTTTGCAAGCGCTTTCTCCCATTCCGTAGATTCTCACTTCACTTTGTTGACAGTGTCCCTGGCTGTGCAGGAGCTTTTCAGTTTGATGTAGTCACATTTACGTATTTTTCCTTTTGTTGCCTGTGCCTTTGTAGCATCACTCAAAAAAAGTGCTGCCCACTCGCATTTCGTGTAGCATTTCCTCTGTGTTTTCTTCTAGTAGTTTCACAGTTTGGGTTCTTAAATTTAGGTCTTTGATCCGTTTTGAGTTGACTTTTGTGTATGGTGAGGGATAGGGGTCTAGTCTCAATCTTCTGCGTGTGGACATCCAGTTTTCCCAGCACCATCTGTTGAAGAGGCTTCTTAAGTCCATTCCCATGAGAATCCTGCTGCTTTCTAACTTACCGAAGTTGATAAGGAAGGAACAAAGTAAAAAACGATTCCTTTCACATTTGCCATCCCAGAGTATCCCTTTGATGCTGATGATTTTCAAGAGGACAGTCTGATTCTGCGGTTGAGTTCTGTCTTTATGAATATAACCGACCCATGAATTGTCCACCATGTCTCCTCACTTCGCCGGCTTCTAATTTCCCAACCTTCTGTACTGCCCGTCACCTGGATTCCACCACTCCACCCCACCCAAAGAAAGCAGAAGTAACTGATGACATCATGTCCTCAGATGCATATTTCAGGGTCACTGCAACACACCACCTGGGGCTGCATTCTGACCTGACCTCTTTCTCTTTGCCCCTGACCGGACACACTTACTTCACAGCCTTCTGCACAAGTAGGGGATGGTCAGAAGGAAAAGCACCAGACCCTGGGGGAAGGCCTGGGTCTCGGCTTTGCCACTGCACAGGTCACATCACCTCTCAAAACTCCCATTTCTCACCTGCGAAATGCGAATGACAATGTTCAGGAACTGTTGTAAAGTACACAGTGTGTAAAGTGGCAAAATCTCGATTCGTGGTTTGAAACTGGGAAGTGCTACATATCAGTGGCATTGGCCTCTCGTGGGCTCTCTTCTATTTTTATCAAGTATTTTGTTTGTTTTCTCTCTAATAGCCTTTCTCTGGAGGTCAGTGAGGGCTTTGCTTTGAGCAGCCTGTCCTCCTGATCTGCAGCTTGGATTTCTCAGGGACTCTCAGGGACATGTCTGTAAATAGTCTTTTATTTACTTTTCCCTTTGGTCTTTTTCTTTCTTTTTTTTTTTTTTTTTTCCTTTGTACCCAAAGTTTGACCACTGAGTAGTTATGGATTGAAAGTCCAGCCTTATTTATGCCCGGTGTTGCTATAACACCAGGTTACTGATGCCAGACTATCACAACCTAAGGGAATATATTTTCCCGATACCTTGCTGAAAAATACAGGTTGGGCTGCAGTACCACCCACTGAAGTCTGGAGTAAGTTTATCTTTTGTGTAAAGTTATTACACAAGAGGCTTCTTAGAATTCTGTGGATATCTTGACTGAATCTTATTTAGAAGTTATTTCTAATGATATTACTTACAGTGAAACTCTGGGAAATAAAGAGAAAGGAGAAAGACCATGAAGCTACCCTTGATTTCTTGGCACAAAAACAACTAATAAAAGCAATTAATATTTTAGTGTATTTCATCTCAGTCTTCATTCAAGTAAAACTTTTACACAATTGTGCTCATATGCTACATGTATACACATAATATGCATTTATATATACAATACAGAATGTATGTAAGTAATGTATATTTGTAGAAATATAAAATACACAATATATGTATGTTTTTTTACATACTAATTTTTCACTTAACACTTTACTGTTATCACAAATTGCCAAAAACTCTATAAATTTCATTTTCAAAGCTGACTAATGTTTCATTATAGATACAACATTGCTTACTTAAATTGTTCTCCTTTTATAGAACATTAAATTGGATTCTTTTCCACGTTTTGCTATTACCTGTGTTCACACCATTTATTAGCACTTTATTAATTATCCCTCCACCAATAGGTAAAAATGTCTGCTGTGACAAACTCAAGTCACCAGCAAATGTTACTTTTTTCCCTTAGGTTTGCACACTTCATAGATAAAAAATAACTGTTTTAATTTATATTTTTTACTTAGCCATTTTTTTTGTGCATTTTAGTATTTCCTCAGTTTACTTCAAAAATCCTTTAATAAGTGCAAACTAAGTACTGAGCATTAGGAATAAAAAGACATAATCCCTGCCTTTCAGGAATATTTGGTGTAATGGCTGATGTACTTTACTAATTTGTCCATTTGTATGTGCTACTGATTTCGATGACTTTTTAACAAAAATAAAGTCACCAACATTTTGTCATAATGCAAGAAAATATTTTTCCCTCCTGGATTCTGATTTGCCTTTTATTCTTTTTATTTATTTATTTTTACATATAGTAGTTTGAAATTCTTATTTGTAATCTATTCCATTGCTTTTAATTTTAGAATCACAGAGGAATTAACCTATATTTCCTTCTATAATTTTATGGCTTAATTGATTAAATATCCTAGAATTTATTTCAGTGCAGGAATGATGTGATGCACCCTTTTGTTTTCAAAATAGCCCCGTGATTATTGATTGAAACTTCATTGCCTTTTGCATTAAGTAGTGATGATCTAGGGGACATCGTGGTGACTGTAGTTGATAGTAGTGTATACTTGAAATCACTAAGAGAGCAGATCTTAAACACTCTCATCACTCAAAAAAAGTAACTGTGAGGTGATGGATATGTTAATTAGCTTAATTGTGATGATCATTTCACAGTGTATATGTATGTCAGATCATCGTGTGTATACCTTAAATATATACAATTTTTATTTTTTATACTCATTAAAGCTGGCAGAAAAATTCCACCGTAAAATAAAAAGTAGTGATGTTCAAAGCTCTATTATTAATCAAAATGCTTTTACACTTGATTCACCTGGCTTTTTTTTTTTTTTTCCTAAAAGATGACCGGTGAGGGGATGTTAACCCTTGACTTGGTGTTGTCAGCACCACGCTCACCCAGTGAGCAAATTGGCCATCCCTATATGGGATCCGAACCTGTGGCCTTGGTGTTATCAGCACCGCACTCTCCCGAGTGAGCCACGGGCCGGCCCCACCTGGATTTTCTAGTTATAAAATTGAGTCTCTGTAAATAACAGAGTTTCCTTTTACATCAGCTCTTGGTCACTAAAACTGCCATAGTATTAAAATATTATACCTTTGCACATATCTGCACAAAACGTCCTGCTCTGAGACACGCGTCTGTCCTTGCCCAGGAGCAGTACATCTTCATCCATCAGTGCGTGCTGCTGATGTGGACGAAGAAGAAGCAGCAGTTCTGCATCAGCGATGTCATATATGAGAATGTCAGCAAGTCCTAGCTCAGGATCGCAGCAGTAAGTGGAGAAGAGCCCATCCTGGGTGCTGTGTCCTAGAATAATGGGAGGGGATGTGACGGGTCACGACAAAAGGCAGCAGTAGCTATTTGTATTGAGTGTGAAGTCACACTAGTATTTCTGCTCACCTCCTGGCCCCACAGCAGTGGTCACAGGGAGAGACAAATACCCTAGCAGTGCTTTGAGCTTCAATGCACCTTGATTGAAGGTAGCAACAAGCAGGACCTTCTGCAATGCATGGCGATTTGACCTCCATTTGCTCCACCCAGAACCCCAACTTATTCTTATATCGAGTCTGTGCCTGAAATATCAGGAAGCTACCGTCCAACTCTAACTAGGTATTTTGTGCAAATATTTTGCTAACTCCAAGGGCTGTATAAAGGGTCACAAAGAAGACATGAGCCGGAGTGGACACCCCAAAGAATAAAAACAATATTGACAATAGAGTCTCAGGATAGCAGAGTCTGAAAATCCCTTCGAGTCTGTGCCTGAAATATCAGGAAGCTACCGTCCAACTCTAACTAGGTATTTTGTGCAAATATTTTGCTAACTCCAAGGGTTGTATAAAGGGTCACAAAGAAGACATGAGCCGGAGTGGACAGCCCAAAGAATAAAAACAATATTGACAATAGAGTCTCAGGATAGCAGAGTCTGAAAATCCCTTGATCTCACCCATGATGGGAGCACGTATTTGACAGCTTCATGAAAACAGTAGTAACATATTCATTGCCCTGTGCTCAAACTTGGACCAGATCACATTTTGAAGGTGTAAGTCATCTTCACTAAGGTGACAAGTAATCTTCCCACTTAGCTCAGTAAACAGAAGGTAGTGTCTGAGGTGATGGGGGTGGGGGGTCATTGACAGGGTGGGGAGAGGACAGTGGAGTGGTGCATTGTGGGAGAAACATGCAGGGTGGGAAGCAGTGCAGCAGTGGGTAGCAGGACAGGATCAGCTTTGTACCTCTGCATCCATCAAGAAAGGGAGATGGAGAACACGAGGGGCAGGAAGATAGAGAATTAGGAAAGACAGAGAGAGAGAAATTTGCAGGCAGAGGGCAAGATATTCAGACCCACAGAAAGAAGGAGTCACACGGAGAAAGGTCCACAGATAAATCCACATCCCCCTGGGTGGTGGGGTTGAGTAGAGTGAGAGCTAGTGACGGAGCCAGGAGGAGGTTGCTGATATCCCAGGCGGCTCACTGTCTTTTTCTCTCGTTCACAGGAGAGGACGTGATGTGCACCCATCCTCCCTTGCTTCCACAGTTTTATGGGGGCCCCTGCTAGTCATTTTGCTGCAAAGAGCCCTCGCTTTGTAGTATGTGGCCAGGAGATAATATATCTCATAGAAGCACCGGGAAGACTTAGCCTTAAAGAGCCTACAGTGTCTTTTGGACTTTTTCACTTCTGGACATTTAATGATGGACCAAATTCAACAGAACACCAGAAAGGTCAAGACGCTTTGCAAAGGGCAGGAAGTACAGCATTTCTGAAGAGTTTGGTTGGCCCTTTGCTAGTTGGGCTGAGTTTTTTGTGTTTTTATAAGTGCAATAATTTTTGTATGTGTGTGATTTTATCAGAAAGTTGTATTGTTTTGCCCACACCACTGTTCAACCCCATAGCCCAGGAAGGAACAGGCATTGCTAGTATCAAATTATACCTCACTATTAATAAGAGGCATGGCCACACATGAAGAAATGGGAATTCTGCTTCTAGGAAATTGAACCAACATTGTCTGCACCCCAACGTTAAGCTACAGGGTCAGGAGCGGGGAGGGAAGACAGGGAAGAAAGAGGGGGCTTCTACCCACAGGTCAACCGCGTATCTTTTCCTACTGCAAATATGAAAAGCTGTAAGTCAACCTCAAAGTAGAGTAGAAAAAATATTTGTCTTAGTTGTTCTAGTTCTTGATGGTTTTCTTCCTTATTAACAGTTGGGTGTTTCTTCCTTGGCCCTTTTGGACTAATGTCACTGTCGAGGTTCTTGTTCAAAAACGAGACCTGGTTCAGAAATTTCAAGTCTGACTCTTTAAACTCCGTTGCTGTCTGAGCAGTCTTGGTGCCTAGATTCTGCATTCCGTCTTCTGTTGACCTGCATACATGTGAGAGCCACTTCTTTGAGAACTATAGGCTCTGAAAATGCACTTTCTTTCCCCCAGAGAGCTGGGAATTTATGGTTACAACAATGAACTGCAGCATGCTAGGACAATTATTTGGCTACAATTTTTGGTAATATTGTCAAGTGTCTCTCTGGATTCCAACAGAGATTTCATTTCATTTTGTTTTCTTTTTGGTTGTCAGTTTCACTTTAACCAGTGTAACTAGTAACGTTTTATTCTTTGGATTTTGTATAATTACAGTACATGGTTGTGTATTGTGACATGAATGCTGTCAAAACGGACAGTGAGGGCATCGTGAAGCCTGTTTCTTTGTGTCACTTCCTGAGAAATAAGAGGTGATGGTATCGATATACAAAGGAAGACATTTTGAGTTGCAAGTAAACCCGAGCTGGCTGCTTCACTGTGGCAATGTGGCTGTTGGGAGCCTTCTTGTATGTGCTTCCAGGACACCTGGCTCCTCTCTGTGTATCTGATCACTGCCCTTTCCCCTGGCTTCTCTCCATTCCTGATCATCTTCATGAAGCCGTGTATATAGGATCAGTGTAATATCTTACCAGTGACCTTAGTGATGGTGAAGGATGCCAGATGAACAGCTCTGCACCCCACCGTGTCTTGTCACTGAGAAGGCCTGGCCACAGCAGAGCTTGGCAAAGTTCCTTGCAAGACCTGGCCAGCAAGTCTCGCTTTCGCCTTGCAGGGTGAATGGCAGAGGATGTCCATCCCCCGCAGGCCAACAGCCTGGACTCCTCAGGGATCCTCAGTTTTCACTCACCTCCCTTCCTCCACTTCTTGCCTCCCTCATGCCACCTCCTCCTCTTCTCACCCCCACTCCTTTACTTCCCTTCTTGCACATTTTAATAATATATCACACCATTCTTGGGGACAAACATGGTTATAGAAAGGTGGCAAACCTATGTATGACATTCTTAGACTTCACACAGGGCAGGAGTGAAGTGCACAACCTTGGAAGAGCCAATATGATGCACAGGTCAGCTGGAATACGTTTCCAACACTGCCACGCAGACACTTACAGAAGTTTTGCAGCCCAGAACACTACTTCCCATGAAACAAAGCACTTCATAAATATTTCCTGTTTTTCTTGAGTACTTCATCAAAGTGGGATCAAATAGTGCCAGATCAATTTTCCCAAAAGAAAAGATGAAGTATCCAGATCATTCCTTCAGGGGTCTCCAAAGTCATTACTATGTTTATTAGGACACTGATACTCCACAACTCCACAATTTGTAAAGCTTTTGGTGGAAGAAGCATCAATGTATCACAAGACTTGAGCATTAATCCTGATAATGACTTTGGAACTTAACTCTGCTGAGTTCCAGTTAATAAATTGAATAAAACCTAGTAATAGCCCCATCATTTGCAGGTGTAAGGAGTATCAGATATGATAATTCACTCATAGTTGCTTTGTATCCTGTTCTCTTATGTACCCTAAGGCTATTCTAACTGGCTCTCTTTCCACCCCAAGACCCGACTTTAAGCATTCAGAAGGGTGACTTCCAGGGCCTCTGTATTATTAATTACAATTTTAAACAAATCTTTTGAGTAGTGCTCTGTAATGAATGAACATAGAGGCATTAGCACATGCAGAGCTAAAGACTTTAGAACTACAAATATTTAACTTTGAGTGCTATTGAGATCAAATTCCTTGGCTGCAAAAGACAATTTATGAAGTTAATTGAAAAATTACCATTAGGGTGTAATTTATAAATTTAATAGTAAACACCAGTATATCCATCATTACACATTTTATAATTTCATTTAACTTGAAAAGAAAGAGTGATGCATGACAACATTTTTTTGGACAGTCTTCTAATTTAGAGTCTACAATTTCCCACTGTAAAGACAATATTGTACCCAAAATTTAAAATGAGAAAAGTTACTAACTTTTTTTGAATGTCAGGTTTTATGCCTTTCTTTTCCTAAATGCTGTCTGTCCCTGCCCCCAAAGGGTAATATATCGCTCAAAGGAAACTGTGGTGTCAACATGTAAAGCAGGAGCTAGATGCTTTGATCGGAATTTTTTGCAGGCCACATGATAGCTGCTTGCTAGAGGATTGGCCCTTAGCCAAGGAGTTAAAGTTACTCAGTCCAATCTCTACGAGCCAAAATTTTCCCTGCTTTCTAGCAAGGAGGCCTTCCTTTATACCTCGGGAAATGTCTGTTGTAATGTGCTTCAAATAGCTGGCTCGTTTCCTAGCTCACAGGCTCAAGCCTGGTACTTGGCACAGGATAGAGTCCAGGAGGCATGCCCATGACTGAATATAATACTCACTTTGGCCAAAGGGGTTATAAAGCAACAAAACATAATATGCAAAAAACTGCTGGTTATTAACAGCCCATTTGGATGCATTTGAAAACACTTTCAGCCATGACATCTCTGATCTCTGGCCTTCCAGAAGAGTAGGATTTTTCTTTTCAATTTCAGCTGGTTCTTATTACAAGGCCTTATCCTGGTGGGTCACTTGAATAAAGACAGAGAATAATGTTTAGCTTTGGGAGCTGCATTATAAGAGGGACATTAACAGACCATTGTCCAGGGCAGGGTCACCAGAACTGTTAGGAATGTGGAAAAACAACAGGTCATAGTAACAACACCTATGGGAAACTGGGACTATATTAAACCTGGAAGAAAGGAAGAGTCATTCATTCCTTCAATCACTCATTCAGCAAGTTTTTGATTATATAATGTTGAAGAATCAATCAATCAATCAATCAATCAATGACTTCTTGACCTCTCGATGTGTGCCCTGTGGTAAGCACAAATGGTACAATATGCTGACTTTTCAAAATATATCATATAATCAGAGTTTTATTGTTGGAAGGACTAAGAAAGCGTCAGTTAAATCTTTTTCAACATTTTTTATTTATATTTCCCAAAACTTTGTCAATGTCTTCTGCATGTACCCACCAGCCAAAATAATGATGCTAAGCTGTTTTTCTAATGGCTTCTACAACAGATACAGGAGGCACCCATAGTTTTTGTTACTCATCAACCACTAGAGACCCTGACATGGTCCCTCTTCCTTGATGAGAATTACCACGCTAGTCCTACTCTCCTTCTCTAAACAGGACTCTCCTAACCATATCCCTGGCAGATGGCTGGCTTTTCTACTGAACTCTGACAGTAGGAATCGCCACCTCACAAGGCAGCCATCCCATCATTTTTTAAGAAGCATTTCCTTCTTTGTTCACACACCTAAGGACTGTACTAACATTAAGAATGTATGAGTTTATGCCTTTCCTGGGTATAGACTTCAAGCCCAAATCTGCATCCCTGTCTTGGTAAAAGGGCAGGTGCTGCGTGTCCGCCACTGCCTATGGCTGCTTTGAATAGAGGTCTGGCAGCAAGTTTTTGCTCTTAGGCAGCAAAGGGAACAGCATTTAAAACTGATCTCAGGGGAGTTCTGTGCTAAGCCCTTTCTACGAATATCCTCTTAACTTCCAAACATCATTATGAGATAAGAACACCCATTCGCCAGGTGGAGAAGCTGAGAGGCAGGTTAAAAGGCAGTGTAGGATCAAGTAAAACAACCACTGGGTTATAAAGCGGCAGAAGCAGTTTCCAATCCAGCTCTGTCCAGCCCCAAAACCATTTCCCCGCTACTTCACCCTGCTTCTCATTCATACTTAGCATTGATAAAGTATAATAGAAATTCATAGCTCATCTCAAGGTAATACGTTTAACATGGAGGGTAGGCTTTCAATTTGAAAAATAGCAAATTTCTAACCCTCCGAGCAATCATTTATTTACTGAACATCTCATGTCAGGCACTGTGGAGGGGGCTGGTGAAGACAGATACGACATGGTCCTTACTTCTAGGAGCTTATATTCTAGCGGGGGAGTCAGAAGTGAAAATAAAGGCACAGTTGCCATGTCAAAAGCACATAAAGCATCCAATGTGGGTGCAAGGGAAAGACAGGTGACTTTCTGGAAGGGTCATAAAAGGCCATTCTGCCACATTAAAGTATTAAAGACTGCAGAGCCACAGTAAAAATACAAATGACATGCATTCATAAAACACCCACTGCATATCAGGCACTGGGGGGGCATATGGGTGACCAGTCCTCCAGCCCCACCTTCCGAACCTTTTCTTCTTGGCAGACTCCAAAGTGACAGTTTCTCTCCAGGCTCCACAGACTGCTCCAGCTCATGTATCATGCAGCAGAATCTAGTGGATTTACTGTTACTAGAATGGCACAGCATATTAGAACTATATTCTCCGGCCCTTTTGTAGTTAGGGTGGGGCCAGGTGGCTGAGTTCTGGCTGATGGAAGGTGAGCTTCCTGGCCCTTGCCCATGAAAATAATCAGAATCCACCTACTACCTCTCTCTTTCTCTCTGACTCTGTTTCTCTCTCTCTCTCTCTCTCTCTCTCTCTCTCTCTTCCTCCCTCCCTCCCTCCCTCCCCACCCTACACAAACAGAGATAGTGGTGCCAAAGGGTGGAAGGAGCCTGGGTCCCTGCATCACTATATGGAAGAGGGATATCTGCCTGCATTGACCCATGATGTGATCAAAAAATAGATTTCTATTATGTTGTCACTAAGATTCTGGTATTGTCAGTTACAGTGGTCAACCTGCCTTTAACTAATATGGCAGCACAAGGATGACCTTTTCATCTATCCAAAGCAGTGGTATGTGGCTTCCCAACAAAATTCCCAGAAGGTTAAAAATGAAACAGAGCAGAGAAAGGTTAACCCACAATGCAAAAAAAGGGTTCACGAAAAGGTCACAAAAACAATGATGGCTCTTTTAATAAAAAAATTTTTTTAATGGAAATATATGGATTTCTCTCCAGAAGTGGTTTTCCTCCAAGTTAGATCTCTCTTAGTCTTTTCTTCATTATTGCTTTCTAAACCCCATAACAAGGCCCATTACTTAGGTAACCCACTAGAATTCTTTTACCTTTACACTAGGCTACCAGCTTTCAATTAGAGTCCTGGATTCCTTTTAACAATAGATCCCAGAGAGGTTGCACATCAATAAAAGCCCAAACATACCAGAGACCACGAGGCCTGCAATGAGGCTTGGTGTGTGGAGGGATGCTGGACAATCCAGGCCTTTGCCTTGCATATGTCCTGGTTTGCTCCAGGGCTATGCATAGGAGTTCAAAGCCAACTGACACAAAATCTTTTTGTTCAGTTCTAAGAACACCAAAAAGTCCAAAGGGCTATTTAAACTAGGAAAAGTCAAGTGCAACCACTACTTCCTCTACAAATACAAAACAGAACAATCTTGGAAGGGTTCTTCCATGTCCAAAATCAAACTAGATCACATCACCCCTTCACCAGTAACCTTGGGAAGCACACAGTCCAGAACAAGACCCAGCAATAGAGCAGAGCACAGCAGTTTACAAGAGACTATGGGTGGAGAGAGTCCTGAGCTCAGAGTCATAAGATCCCGACCATGACTCAGTTGTCTCATCTATGAAGTGGACATAGTGACAGTACCTTTCTCATAGGGTGTCTCAGACAGTTTGGGCTGCTATAGCAAAGCACCATAGACTGGGTGGCTTATAAACAACAGAAATTCAT